GGCCTTCCTGGGGTCCCCACAGCCCCATCGCTCCTGCCCCTCTCTTACCATCCCGTCGGAGCAGCTGGAAGTGGGGCTGGTCGGTTCGGAGCAGCTCTGTCCCGGCAGGTGATAGTAGTTTTCTACCTGTTCCCTCAAGAGCTCCTGGAGGCTCTCGATGTATCTGATGGCATTTCGCAGGATCTCTACTTTGGGGAGTCTTTGGTTGGGGTTGGCAGTGGTGCATCTCTTCAGGGTCTCAAAAGCCTGGTTCACTTTCTTCAGCCTCCTCCTCTCCCTCATGGTGGCCGCCTTCCGCCGGTCCATTGTGGTGGCTTTTCTCTTGCAGGCTTTGCAAGCCCACATGAGGCAGTGCCCGGCCTGGTGGTGGCCAGTGGGAGCTCGGACATGCTCCTCTTCCTCGGAGCAGGCGGGCTCGGGGGGCTCGGGGGCGCCGAAGGGAGGCAGGTCCCTGGGCTCAAAATCCTCGGGGAACTCGCCCTCCGGGGAGGAGAGGCAGGAGCTGTCATAGAAGAGCTCGGACGGGGAGAACTGGCAGCTGTCCATCACCTCCATCCCTGCAGCGGAGGCGTCAGCGTGGGGCGGCAGCCACCGGCTCTCGGCCAGGCGCTCTGCACCGCGCTGGGGCAATTTCCTCAGTAATTAGCGACCTGAGACGAAGTGTCCTTTGGCTGATGCGGAGGGCCCTTATATATACATGTAAAGGGAGGCCGGTCCGCAGCGGCCAGTCTTTATTAGCATATCCCACCACATCCCCTGCCGGGGGCTGTCTGGGCAAGCCCCTTCCAGTCCCCAGGAGACAATTTGCTCCGCACCGCTCCTTTGGAGAGCCCTGAGCTGGGCACGTCTCTAACGAACGACCTCCCCAGAACTGGTTGCGACATCTCCGAAGTTTAAACCAAGTCTGGGAGTTTGCAGGTTTGGTGTGGAAAGAGACAGAGGGGCGGTGGGCGCGCAGGAACCGCTGACATTTCCTACAGAGCCGTTCCTCGTCCCCGTGCTCCCATCTCCCATCACAGGCTGCAGCGGGAGGGACACCGGCTCTCCCCACGGGGGAACTAACGTAAAGCCCACTCACCCACCCCCCATGGCACCGACAGGGTCTACTTGCGTGTCTTTATTCCCCACAGCCCGTGGTCCGGGTCTAACCTAGAACAATTTACCCCTCTTTTCCGACCTGAGATTTGTTCGTTTATCTTGAGGAGCGCTTTGTCCTGTAACTAAAGCTGTGTCACCAACCGTTTAAATTTGCAAACCGGGGAACGAAAATGCACAACTACGCGTGGTCAGGAGAGACGAGGTGGGGGGAAACCCAGATTTTTAGTGCTGTCGGATCGGGTCACAGGGAAAAGTACTCACAAAAGAAAAGTGTACGTGTTTGCTCCGAGACAAATCCCCTTCCCATTCCTTCTCCTACTCGTATGACCTGGTGCCGCTGGAGACACAACAGTCGGGCAGTGCCTTGGGCTTGCTAATTTTCTGCTTTCAGGCAAATTTGTACCGTTACAGATGCGTCCCAGCTGCCGGTGCAACAAACCCCTCCTGGAAGTGTAAAATTTCTAACCCCGCCATCCCTAAGTAACTTTACACAAGCCGGGGACAAAAGCCTCGCCGAGCTCCAGCCGCAGCAGTAGCCGAGCGGAGCGGTGCAAGGGTCATTAGAGCGGTAATGAAGCCATTTCACAGGCGTTTGCTAACGCGCAGGAATCCTTTGGTTTCATCCAGGTGGCTTTTGTAGTTGAGGGAAATATTAGGAGAAGGCAAAGGAAACCTTTCCTACCTGGGAATAAAATTAGCTGACCTAGGTTAACTCAAAACGGAGAGCAAGTGACCCAGCAGCGGCCCAAACGCCACGGAGCCGGCCT